CACACACACACACACACACACACACACACACACACACACACACACACTGGAGGCAACTAGATGGTACAGTGGATAGAGCACTGGACTTGGAATCAGGAAGACCTGAGTTTAAATCCAGCCTCAGAAATGTCCTAGATGTGTAACCTTGGGTAAGTCACTTAACCTCTGTTTGCCACTGGAAAAGGAAATGGCAAACCATTCCAGTATCTTTGTCAAGAAAACCTCTGGACAGAGGTTTATGAGATCACAAAGAATTGGACAGTACTGAAACAACTGGACAACAACACACACATATAGGTGAATATATAGACATATGTATATACATACACATGTTTATATGTGTGTGTATGTATAGGTGTGTACATATACATATACTTTTATCTCTCAGGTAGGAAGGAGGAAGAAGAATGTGGTGAAGGTATCTTTTAAATTTTTTTCCATTTACATTTAAAAACAATTTAACATTCTTTTAAAATTAAGTTTTGAGTTCCAAATTCTCTCCCACCTTCCCCATTTATTGAGAAGCAAGCAATTGGATATAGCCTACGCACATGCAGTTATGTAAAATATATTTCCACATTAGTTATGTTGTGAAAGAAAACACAGACCCTTTCCTCCAAAAAAACACCAAGAAAAATAAAGTTAAAAAAAAAAGCATACTTCAATCAGAATTTAGACTCCAATCAGATTTTTCTCTGGAGGTAGATAGCTTTTTTCATCATGAGTCCTTTGGAACTGTCTTAGATCATTGCATTGTATCATTGTATTATAAGAATAGCTAAGTCATTCACAGTTGATCATCATTCAGTATTGCTGTTACTGTGTATAATATTCTCCTCATTCTGCTTATTTCACTTTGTATCAGCTTGTGTAAGACTTTCCAGGTTTTTCTGAGAGCATTCTGCTCATCGTTTCTTATAGCACAATAGTATTTCATCACAACCATATACAACAACTTGTTCATCCATTCCCCAATTGATAGTCAGACATCGAAGACACCAAGGCCATTCACCCCATCCCTGGTCATCTTGAATTTTGTCTTGCAACTGGACTTCAATGACTCTAGAAGAGAGAGGCTGAAGACTTTGTGCAGCTCTGCATCACTTAAGTCCAGTTCACTCACAAGTCAAGACATCACACCATGATGTTATTGGTCCTCTTTGAAAACAAAGGACAAGCATCTTTCTTGCTCTGAATTCTCCTACCCATCCACCTATTCGCTATCATTTTCTCTGGTTATCAGTGGGTTAGAAAGAATACTGGGTTAGGAGCTCAAGGTCCAGCTCTACCACTAACTCATTGTGCAACTTTGGGTAAGTTGCTTCTCTCTGGGCCTCAATGTCCTCATCTGTAAAATGGAGTTGGATTAGATGACCTCTGAGGTCCTTTTTAGCTCTGAATCTATGATTTTGTGATCCACTTTATGATCCTATGGATTTCTTTCTTCCAGCAGAGTCAGGAATTTCGGTGTGGGATAGGAAAGAGAGAAAGAAAGGGGGGCAATCTTCTTGATCCCTAACACTGTGTTTGGAAAAGCAAGGTCATAGAACCTTAGAGGTAGGTGGGGAAGGGGCCTTAGAGTTCATCTAGTCATTTTACAAATGAGAAAACTGAGGCCTGGAGAGGTTATAGGGCACAATGCCTGGCATACAATAGGCTCTTATCAAAAGCTGGCTTTTTGACAAGTCAAAATACTTGTTCATTGTCTTGATTTGTCCATAGTCACCAAGGGAGTAAGTGGTAGACACATGATTTAAACCCATATCTTTCAACTCAAAACCAACACTCTGTCCATTAATACACACAATTACACATTTGCACATACAGATATGCATATATTAAATCTCCCAGTAAAACCAAAGTCACTTGAGGGAAAAGGCTGGGTTTTATTTATCTTTTTATTCCTAGTGCCCAATTTAGGGCCACCATAGAATAGGTACTTAATATGTTTCCTAAATAAAAGAAGGAAGAAATCAATGAGTGAATATATAAATTAATGAGTTGCATACTTTTCAGACTTTTAACAGCCTTTAAGTGGACTGATGTTGGGGCAGCTAGGTGGTGTAGTGGGTAGAGCACCAGCCCTGGAGTCAGGAGGACCTGAGTTCAAATATGGCCTCAGATACTTACTAGCTAACTGTGTGACCTTGGGCAAGTCACTTAACCCCCATTGCCTCCAAAATTAAAAAAAAGAAAAGAAAAAGATGAACTGTTGTGGTGCTTGGGATTTAATTGTGGAGGTATAATAGAACTACCTCATTGCAGTCAGGCCCCAGTTGATATTATGTAATGTAAATTTGTAGTGGATCCAGTCAACATGGTTTCTTGATTTTTCTCTGGATTTCTGCAGTAGCATCAGAATAGGAGCAAAGGCAGAGGATGGTGGGAATAAACCACTGGATCTTGGTAGGGCATGATCAGCAGTGTGTCAAGGGGACAAGAGATTTGAATATATAGGATAGTGTAGAATTGAACTATTTCACCCAAAGGGTCAAGAAAGGGAAGGGAGAAGAATACAGTTATAGGGGTGATGGCCTGGGAAAGAACTGAGAGGCTGAGGAATTCAAAGGCATGGTAAGGACTAAGAAAAGAGTTAGGAAGTTGTAAGGCAAAAGGAAAGATAGAATCACAAAATATTATAATCAGATAAAGGTATTTCAGAGTTCATGAACATAGAAGTGGAATAGTTGTAGGGAATGGAAAGATGATGGATATGACCCTCTCTGGGTAAATCTGAGGTGTAATATAGAAATAGATTGTAGAATAGAATAACTGGGATTTTAGAGTGTTTAGGGGAGCATGAATATGTATGTTCAAGTTCCTTAGTATGAGGACAGGAACTGGGGAGGAGAGAGACTGTAAACCAGTGACTAAATTCATTGAGGAAAGAAGGACAGTATTCTGGGGATAGCTAGATAATAGTTACCAGAATCTTGACTAGGTGATAAATACGGATTGAATAAACTTTAAAAGAGGAGAGGAGAATGTACTGGGTGATGTTGGTAGAGGACGAGTCTGAATGTGGCAATGGTGAACACAGAATATTTCAACTCCCCCACCATGACTAATGACTGGGGTTATGAGTGAAAATTCAACCAGTGTTCGGAGGGGTCACCAGGGATGCTGTGTTATCAGGAGGGAGTCAGGACTCAGTGAGTGTAAGAAGATGGAGGGAGTGAGAAACAAAAAGGTTTAAGATAAAGCAGATTTGTTCAGCGTGGAATAGGCATTCCAGATAGCACGGTGGAAGGAGTGGGTAGATCTGGAGTAGGACATTGGAAGGGTTGGGTTGAGGGAGGTGGGAATAAAGATTCCAGGTTTGTACGGTGATAACTAGGCTTTCAGAATCCCAGAGATGGAGAGAGTATGATAGAATGGGAATATGTTAATCATTAAGGAATGAGTTAAGGCAGAGTACCAGTGACTGGAGTGAAGATTCCACAAAATCCCACATCCCTCAAGTCTCCTCTTAGTCACATAATCACAGTAGCATATGTTTTCCCAGCCCCGGCATGACACATTGATCTTCCAGAACTCTTCCTACAGGTCAAGATTATTTTGGACAGACTCCGAGGACAGGCACACACTTGCATCGGTGTCCTGTTTTGGCATTGCCTTGATGCCCTAGCTCTCAGTAACACTCACACTGACCAAGGCCTAGAGTCCTTTTCCTTTTCCATTCTCTGTCCCCACCTCCCCCATCTCCATCTTTCTCTATCATCTCCTCTAGCTCAGGATTTATTTTAACCCTTTTAGTGTCTTGGACCCCTTTTGGAGTCTAGTGAAATGAATTCTGTTGAAATATACTTACCAGAATATTAAAACAAAACAGTACAAAACAAAAGCTCACAGGTTAGATATTAGTGCCTAGTGGGTTAATGGTTAGTGGGTTAGAATGAACATTGGGAGGGGCAGCTAGGTAGCACAGTGGTTAAAGCTCCAGCCGTGAAGTCAGGACGACCTAAGTTTAAATCCGGTCTCAGATGCTTGACACCTACTAGCTGTGTGACCTTGGGCAAGTCACTTAACCCTGATTGCCTCACCAAAAAAAGAAAGAAATGAACATTGGGTTAGGAGCCTGAGTCCCAGCTCTGTCACTTAATAGCTGGGTTACTTTGGGTAAGTCCCTTCTCTCTGGGCCTCAGCATCCTCATCTGTAAGATAAGGGCATTGGGATGGATGACCTCTAAGGTCCCTTCTAGTTCCAAATCTGTGATCCTTCCTTTCAGACATAATTGGGCTGGAACACAGATGAATAAGGTTTCCTCCCCTTTCCTTTTCCCTCTTTCAGCCTTTTCTAAGGTGATTTGTCTAGAGAACACTTTTGGATTTTAAATATACTGATTTATAATAAACAATCTATATAATATAATGATTTACATAGAAATTAGTTATCTTATATAACAATATATAATCATTATACATTATATAATATTTAATATACATATATAAATGCTGACAGCATCTAGGTGGCGAAGTAGGTGGTGTGTCAGAGCAGGAATCAGGAAGACTCATCTTCCTGAGTTCAAATCTGGCCTCAGATCCTTCCTAGTTGTGTGACCCTGAACAAGGCATTCAACAACGTTTGCCTCACTTTTTTTATCTGTAAAATAAATTGGAGAAGGAAATGGCAAACCACTCCAGTATCTTTGCTAAGAAAACCCCAAATGGAGTCCTGAAGAGTTGGACCTGGCTGAAAAACATCCAAACAACATTAAATGCTGATCTAGAGGTATAGCATTCTCTCAGGAGAAATGAGGACCTGGAGAAATTTTGGAGCAAAATAAAAGGAAACAAAATCTATTTTTATACCCCAACAATGCATAAGTAGTATTTTTAATATACAATTTCATATTTCATATTTAGGAGGAAAAATATTATTAGTAATGGAAACTTCTTACAGAAATTCCGTTCCCCATCTCTGGGAAGACTAGGCTTTCTTAGAACACAATCTGGGAGGCCTTGGACTGAAGAAATTATCTTTTAGTTCGGACATTCTATGAAGGTCCCATTTCATCTCCCCTGGGGCTTCTTCTCTTCCCCTCCCCACACACCTTCTGTGTCTCCCTAGGGCGTGGGCTCCTTGGAAGAGAAGATGAAGAGTCTGGATGTGAATCAGGATTCTGAACTCAAGTTCCATGAATACTGGAGGCTTATTGGGGATCTGGCCAAGGAGATGAAGAAAGAGAAAGCAGCAGAGTTCCGGAAGAAGTGACACTGACTTAAGGAGGTTTTGGGGGGGGAGAGTAGGGGAAGGTGACGAGGTGACCGCTGTCCCCCTAATAAAGTTGTCTTGAAATACAAATGTACTTTTTCTTACTCCTCCCAGATTCTTCAGACATTCTTCCTGAGCTCAGGAGAGGGTGCTGGACTTGAGGCAGAGTATATATTGTGCTTTAAGATTTACAAAGGGCTGTCATCACAATCACCCTGTGAATTAGGCAGGGATTTCATTTTACAGATAAAGAAACTGAGGCCCAGAGGTCAAATGATAACCCACAAAAGCTTAGTATTACATATAGAGGGGCTAGGAACTGAACCTATGATTTCATCAGTATAGGAAACTGGGGTGAGGAAACATAGGTAGCCTGGGAGAGTCACCTCCACCCGGGTCACACAGCCCCAGGCATCAGTAGGTGACTTTAACCAAGCTGTCTTGTCTTCAAGGGTGTGTCTCTATTTGATACACAATGCTTCTTCTTATGTTGACTATAGTAACATCCAATAAATGTTTGCTGAGTGAATGAATGACCAATAGTGATGCAACTCTGGAGGAGGGTGCAAGGGAGGTAGATGGTTCCTGTCCCCTCTGGAGCTCCTCCTGGAGGCCTCAGCTGGGGGTGGGCTGAGGATGCCCAGTGTCCTGGCTCCTGCCATGCCCTATTATTGACATCTCTAGCATGGCTCCTGGCATATTTCATGTTTGCTCCTCATTTGGGCTTCAACATTAGAATTTTAGAGACTTGTTTCCCTTGTTTCTCCATATCTGAGCTTACTGCCTATATTTCCAGATCGATGGTGAGGTGGGGTGGGGGAGGGAGAGGAATATAGGGGCACAGCTACTGTCCATCCTCAAATCTTTTGGAGAAGCCTGAGATAGGAGTTTTAAGGTTCAAGGTTCTGGCCACAAGATGGGGCAAGGGCAGGGCAGCCCACAGGGCCTTAGAGCTGACTGGAGACTGCCCAGAGGGGTTCAGAATGAGAATGCTAGGAGGGAGAGATGCCCAGCAGCCCCGAAGTAGTTTCAGAGCCTTGGAAGAAAGAGCGCAGCCTTCCTACCTTGCCCTGTGCTTCCCCCTCCATTCTCTCCACCTTACATTTCCTACTCACTGTTACAGGGGGGCCATGCCGTGGGCTATGGGAGTTGCGGAAGGCTAGAGGAGGTATCTAAGACTGGAGGTCCAAGGGTCTTGTAATTCCTAGGAACTTGCTCCAGGGACTGGAGGGCCCTCTGCCAAACCTCTTGTTGGGGGAGATGGGAACTCGGGATGACAGAAAGGGAGTGGCAGGCAACTCAACCAGTTTGGAGAGTTAAGTCCCCCTATCCCCCCCTCCCCCTTGGGCCCCACTCAACATCTGTACTGAGATCCTATCCAGAGGAATCTTCAAGGAGGAAAGGAAACTACAGCTCCCAAAAGCAGGCTGGCTCTGTTTTCTTTTTAAATTAATTTTTATTGATATTTTTTATTAAAAAATAACTTTTATTTTTCCAATTAACAAGCATTCTCTCTCTCTCTCTCCCCCTCTCTCTTCCTTTCTCCTTCAACAGAACAATGAAACAGCCCTTGTAAATAGGCAGAGTCAAGCAGAATACTAATTCTCACATTGGCCATTCATGTATCCCGCTGGCTTCTTGACAAGGTGCCTTCCCCGGAGCTTGTTCCCACTAACTAGCTCCGGACTTCCTCCCCCCAGAAAATGGGAGTAGGCTGAAGTGAGGAGAATTAAAGTTTAACAGGCATTAAAATGAACTGAGAGCCAGGCTCAGATTTAGGAAATTCTGGGTTCAAGTCATTTCCTCCTCACACTGGGCAAATCACTTAACCTTTCAATGCTCTTGACAGAGCAGTTTCATTTAGCAGATGTAGGGAGTCCCCTCGCTGGGAGTGCCCTACACCAATGAAATCACAGGAGAAGACTAAAAAAAAAAAAAAGAAAGAAAAGAAAAAAAGATGACTCTACAAATTTACACAGTGTGGGGGCGGGCTATCCAAAGTACAGCAAAGCTTTGGGTGACTCCTCTTCCCTCCCCAGTCCAGCAGGTCAGGAATCAGCTGCAGAGTGACCCCAAGTGAGGAAGGCTGGGGAGAGAGTCCCAGCTTCCTACATTAATCCTTTGTACCATGCCTCTCTCCTTCTTCTCTCTGACCCTCCCCCATTTCCTGTACCCTGGCTTCTGGAGGTAGGGGCAAACTCATAAGCCCCTCCCTCATCTTGATGCCACCTGCCACTGAACCATCTCCCTTCTCAGCTTCTCCATTTCCTGGGATTCCTCCCCCTTTCCAACCTCCTTTACCCACAACGGTTTCCCTGTTTCCTGGGTCCTGAATTTTCCCCTAATCTTTCTCAGCTGGTCTTCAGATCCTATTTTTTTTTTCCCAACGCCCATCCCCATCCCCATTGTCCCATTGCCCTATGACAGGTTTTCCAGGTTCCCTTTCTCCCTTGTCCTGTCTGGGTCAGAGGGGCAGCTGCCTAGCCTGGTTTTGGAGTCCTGGGTCCCTCCCTCCTGGCAGTGGGGTGAACTCTCTGGCTCTGAGCCTGGCGTGTACAGCAGCTGCTGCTGGCATAACCCGGCTGAAAACCCATCCCCCTCTTCCATCTCTCCTCCCTACTATGCTTCTCCTGCTCCTCCTTTCCACTCCCCCAGGTATAAGGGCTGGGCCAGGTGAGCCGGCTCCTCCTGTCTCGGTCCCAGAAGCCCTAGCAGGTAAGTGAGCCCATGCCTTAACATAATGGGGTCTCCATAACTCTCTCCCCTTTCCTGCTGCTCTTGGGGATGCCTTACCTTCAACCTTGAAGGGAAGACCTCCTTTAGGGATACTAATACCACCCCACCCCATCTCCTTTAAAGTCCAGGGGAAAGGGAGCCTGTGGGACTAGGAAACCCAAACATTGTAGGGCTGGGGCTTGGAGGACAGGGTAATTAGGATAATGTTTGTGACCAGGCTGAGGAAGTAGAGTTGGCACCATTTCAGGGTCTAGGGGCATCAAGACTGAGGAGGGCTTTGAGGCAAGGGTATCCTGATACAGAAACTCCCTCCTTTCCTAAGGGTGAATGTGTGTCTGTGTTTCTGGGTGTGGAGAGATGGAGAGCTGGCCCTGACCCTCTCCCCACCTCCCGTTTCCAGCTTCCTGGAGGGAGGGGCAAAGTCATGTGGGTGGGTGGGGCGAGGGGGAGATGGAATCCTCAGCTTCCCCCTCAGATCAGATCTCTCACATTTGCCAGGCAGAAGATGAGCCACTGGTCCCTCAGGGACACGCCATAGGAGAACACCCCCAGATCCTAAAGAAGTGACCCCAGTGCCCCCTACTCACCCAGGTCACCATGGGACAATGTCATTCTGCAAATGCTGAGGTTGGTTCATTCATTCCCCTACCTTCCGCCCAAGAATCTCTCACTAGCCTCTTACCCCTCTTTTCCTTTTTCTCTTTCTTCCTGTTTTTTTCTGAAGTTTCTCTTTCGGACTCCCCTTACCTCCCCCACCCCCTGTCCAACTCTGGGACCCACCTACCTTCCACTGACAAGCCTCCCTTCCTCTGATTCCCAGGCTTCCCTCCTTTGACTCCCAGGCTCCCACTTGATCCCCATCCCATTCCTCACCAAGATTCCCTCTGACTTCTGCCCCTTACCATCATTTATTCTGCTATAGCCTATAGCTTGGCTTATAGTTCCCAAAGACAGGGAAGAACCTGCTCTTTTTCCCACATAGCCTGTCACTGGAGAGCCTTCCCTGGGAGAGCCAGCCAGGCAGGACCCACGTGCTGGGACCTGCCCTGGCTGGAAGAGTGTGTGTGTGGGGGGAAGGTTTGCTCAACCTATTACTCAAGGCTTCCCACGTGGGTCTGGTTGGGGGCAGAGGGAAAAACCTGGACCAGCAGAAAAATGGAGAATGATTCTGGACAGTGAAAAGGAGCCGAGAGCTGGGGGCTGAGTGGATCGTGCCCCCCTCTTGCCTCATTGGCATTTCCTAGGTTGGCACTCAATAGAGGGGGAAGGCCTTTGGGAGGTTTCTGTGGTTTGGGGACAGGAATCGAGAAGAGGGAGGAGTATGGAGAGGATTGATAGAGTTGAAGAGCACAGAGCAAATTCCAGAGCAAGAAGGTGTTTGGACCAATGGATGAACCTATAAATAGTATTAATGTCACTGGTGGGTGGGTGAGGGAGATTTCCAGGCAGAGTCACAGCCAGAACACCCGCCTTAAATAGAGTGTTCTGTGGTGACCCTGCGTCCTGAGGGTAGGAAGCACATCTTTGATTTTAGCTCTCTTCTGTCCCTGTCCTAAGGATGCCCAGGAGTTCAGCGATGTGGAACGGGCCATCGAAACCCTCATCAAAAACTTTCATCAGTATTCAGTAGAGGGGAAGAAGGAGACTCTGACATCTTCTGAGCTTCGGGATCTGGTCACCCAGCAGTTGCCCCATCTTATGCCGGTATGGAAGACCCAGGCATCTGAGCCCTGTGTCCCTGTGAATGTCTGTCCCTTGACTTCCCTATTTTTCTTTCTTTTTTCCCCAGCCAAATCTGGGTAGCAGGACCTTGGGCTTTATAAATACTTGCCAATTGATTAACCTACTCTCTAGGTTGGGGGAAAGGGCCCCCCTTGGGCTTATGTCTTTCTTTGGAGGGGTGGAGTGGGATGGGGTGGGAAGGCTAGGATGAAGACTGTCTTTCTGAGCTGTGGGTGTCTCCCCTCTGCTCCACTCCCTGTGTTTCCTCAGGGCAGCTGTGAGCTGGATGAGAAAATCGCCAACTTGGGCAGCTGCAATGACTCCAAGTTAGAGTTTGGGAGCTTCTGGGAACTGATCGGAGAAGCAGCCAAGAGTGTGAAGCTAGAAAACATGACCCGGAGAAACTGAGCCTCTACCACCACAACCCAAGGAATCTTGGGAAGGGGTGGGAAGGGGCCCCCCAGAGACTGTGTAAACACAAAAATAAAAATTTCTAGCTTCTTCCCTAGCTCCCCACCCTATTCCTCGCCTTTCCCCCCCAAGACTTTGTGTATACCTTCCTCTCCTAGTGGAGCATTCATCCCACTGAATGCTCCATAGGGCTTTGGAAGGTGGAATTGGGATCCCCACACAGTAGGAGATACAGGAAGGGAACCAAGGTGGAGGGTCAGATTTTTAGGGACAATGGTCGCATGAACTGGAGTGGAGAGGGCATTCAGAAGGGGTCTGGGGACTGATTTGATTAAGGGAGGGACAGGCATAGGGGTTAGGAGATTGGATATTTGGTGCTAAATGAGTTTCTGGCCCTCACTCCCATTCTGAAGTGTAACCATCCAGTCAGACAGGTCCCTTTCTTTTTCCTCCTTTCCTCCTTCCCCTCGCTATCCTCCTCCACCCACACATCCTAGGACCTTAACCTTTCTAGGGTTTTGTCCCTTTAGAAAAGGAATGGATGGGCAGAAGGAACAGTGGTTGGGCTGGGACTAGGGAGGGTGTGATTTTGAGGGTGAGGGGGCTTGGTGCTTTGGGCATTTGTGGAATGATGGTCGTTTTGTATCATTTGATTTAATAAAAAAAAAAGAAAAAGAAAGATGTTGATGTGATTCAAGACTTTCTTTTGGATTTTGGAGGGAGAGAGGACCTAGAGCCTCATGGGGGTATGGGTGTTAGTGATGGCCACTTGGTAGTAGTGAGTAGTAGAAATGAATGAGTATCAGTTTATTCCTTCGAGGCTAAACAAGGATGGTTCCTGGACTGGACAGTAGCACACCTGCTTTCCTAGTTTGGCTTTGAGCCCTTTAAGTGATTATTTGGTGAGGGGGTTTCCCTCTGGGCCTCATTTTATTGATGCATAATCTGGTAGTCAGTTTTCCTGGAATAATAATAGCTTATAAAAACATATATGTATATATACACATACCTCCATATACGCATATGTATATATATACCCATATATGTGTATATATAAATATAGCTTTACAGTTTACAAAGCACTTTGCATTATCTCATGTGTTACTTATAACAATCCTATAAGGTAGATAGTAGAGGTGTTATTAGTCCCATTTTTGCAGATGAGAAAATAGGCATAGAGATGTTAACTGATTTACCTAAGGTCACACAGCTTATTAGTGGAAGAGCTGGGATTTGAATCTAGGTCTCCCAACTCCAGAAACACTGTTTTTTCCCAAATATCACAGCTACATCTCTTGGTTCCTGGGGAGACTGGGTGTGGTAGGGGGAGTGAAACAGCCAGGTACCCCATTCCACTTGCTTGGTGCCCAGGAAAGGCAATGAAAGAAAGGAAGGAATGGTCTAGGAAAAGGGTGGAAATGCATGGGACCCTTTGTGGAAGGAAGGCCCAGATTTTTGAGGAGTGGGAACTGGGCTGATCCCCAGTTGGGTGCAGAATGCAAAGCTCCAGGGGTTCTGTTGTTCTCTGACTAAATAACCAGGAAGCCCGAGGCTGAAAGGAATTGTAATGGAATGTAAGGGCTAGTTTGGGTCCCTGTCCTGCCCAAGGCTGGGCAGGGCTGGTATGTTAACTGGTCTGTCTGCAAGGGTGATTATGGCCCCTGAAACTAGTCCCCTGAATGATCCAGGTGATCCAGTTGGCTGATGACAGCCCCTTTCTCTGTAACTCCAGGGAGGGATGAAGAAGGTGGAGAATAAGAGGGAGGGTAAGTTGGGGGAGAGCCAGCCTCCCCGGCACACCCTTTTGGAGGGGGGGGGAAGGTGGGTATTTCTTTAACAAGGGCCCAACCCCACGGCCGGTAAAGATTGAGCTAAGTCTCTTTATATCCCCACTCAGCCAGCTCAGCCAGGCAAATCAGGAAGGGAGTTAGGGGAGACTTTGAGAAGAAGTCAGGGAGGAGTCTGGGCAGGTCTAGGAACTACTCGGCAGTACCTGAAATCAGGCCAGAGAGACCCGCTGGAGGAAGAGAACTCTAGGAGGCAGGTGAGACTGGGAGAGCCTTGGGGCTGGTGGGAGAAGCGTAGAAGTACCCCAGTCTGAGGGAAGGAAGGGAGGGAGCAGCAGGGAAGGGTAGGTGGTTGAGGTTGGAGGGAAGGGTAGAGGAATCCTGTCCAGGAGCTAGCCTGGAGGGAACAGGGAATGCGGTAGTTAATGAATTATTTTGGGAGGGCCAAGCTTGGGTGAAAAGGGAGGCAGAGCCAAGTGGGGCAGTGTTGAGGTTGTTGGAGGAGCAGACAGGTGGGAGGACCCGTGCCTAGGCAGACCAAATCCATTCTCAGTGTCCCAGGGCAGTGACCAGGGGGCCTCAGTGCCTGCTCCTGGGGGGAAGAAAAAGCAAAATCAAATCAAATCAAAGCAAGTCTTACCCCTCACAATCCTCCCAACTCCCTGGGCATGGGCCTAATTCCCTTTCTTGAGGAAGATGAACAGAATCCAAAGAGGGGAAAAGCAGGGCCTACTGCAGGCATACATGAAGGGAGTGGTGACAGGGGAGGTGCAAGGGATCAGGCTAGCTGGGGGAAAGGGGGGGAAAGAGCAGTTAGGACTTCTTCACCCGGGAAAGGAAACAAGTTTCAGCTTGAACCACTCTGCATGGTACGGACACACCTGTACAGCTCAGCACCAGACAGTGCTTTCCCAACCAATTCTAGGAACCAGGGGTACCTTGGATATAATATGAGTACCTTAGAGGTTCTAAGGGGCTGAGATGGGGGAAGAGCAAATCAATCCCTTATCCCAATTCCTCCATGCCATCACAGATGAAAAGGGTATCTAGGTAGCTAGAGAGACCAGAGAAAGGAGGTGTGCATATGTGTTTACCTGGTCTGGCCCAGCTCCCTCCAATATCAGTAAGCTGGAATGGAGTTGGGTGATGGTAGATACACCTTCAAGGGCTTTCATGCTCTCAACTCTCTCCTCATCTCCATCTCCTTCAACCTCAACTCTCATCCAAGAGCACAGGGCAGATGTGGGGGGTGGGGGTGGGATAGAAATAAGAAGGAGAAGGGGAGAATGGTGAAGATGTATTAGTAAAAAGAATGGCTTAAGGATTTTGGTTGAGAGTTGATGTAGTTGAGGGGCATCAGGTGAGAACGGGTATCCTAGTGCTTGTGGGCTCAAGGGGAATTCTGGGAAATGAGCCAGAGTAGGTAAAAGGAGAGGGTGTGTGGTGGGCAAGGTATAGCAAAGCTAGGTCTGGAGAGGAGTTTACAATAGCCTTGAAAATAGTGCAGAACAGCTCCTGGCCCAGAGCAGATTCTACCATCTTCAGGAGAGGAGGGATCCTGGGGTTGGGCTCAGAAAGAATGAATGAATGACCTCTCTTGCCTATATAGTGTCTATATGAGGGATTATATGACAAGAATACTAGGGTCGAAGGGGTAGGGAGGTAGAAGGAGTAGGTGGAGGTTGACAATGGGAGGAGGTGAGGGTCTGAGAAGGGCAGGGCCAGAGGACATGTCTCAGTTCTTGGAGTAATTGAGAAGAATTTGAGTTCAAGACTTTGAGTGAAAATTGGGTAAGGGTGGAGTGGCTATAGGAGGGCAGGTCGAGGCACCTCTAAATCTGCCACAGGTGTTTTAGAGAGGTGAGTGAATGAAGGTAAGCTGGCAAAGGTAGGAGGGGAAGGACAGAGTAGGGATGAGAGATGGTTTGGAGGACAAGTTAGGGGTATTATTGAAAACTGTGATGTTTCTGGGTGGGGCGGGAAGGGGCCTAAGGGTCAAGAGTGCAGCTGGCACATTTTGGGGGGAGTTGGTAAGAAGGGAAGGGAGGGAAAGAGACTAGAGGATTAGGAGGAGTTCCAGGGAGATGTGTATGTGTGTGTAGTGGGGTGTGTGTGTGTCATAATTTGGTCTTTTTGGAGAAGTAAGCAAGCCTTGGGGTGGGGCTGTGAACATGGTAGGAGGGGCAGGGGAAGATATGGGGGCAGCTCATTGCACACAAGTGAACTAGCCTAGGAGAAGGCAATTACTGTTTTAAGGGACTGAGAAACCCTGGATGAGAGATCCCTTAATCAGGTTTCTCAGCCCATGTGGAGGGATTTCTGAATTGGGAAAAGGATTCTATTCCTAAACTCCACATTGTTCTGCCCCACTAACACTCAAACCTTCTCCGTTTCCCCCTCTACATGAGTACACACTGGAGAACCCACCAAACAGCAAAGTCCATGCTGGGCACACCCTCTGTACATCCTCTTGTAGGAAGGAGGTTGTGTGAATAGCCTGGAAATCCTCTTTTCCTGGTCTGCTCTGCCTTAGGACTCTCCAAAAGGGGGTGGAACCAGCAGGAGGGTGGGGTCAACAGAGTTAAATGGGGGAGGCAGTGGAATGGGAGAGGGAAGGTGTGGGCTGGGTGAATGAAGGTGGTTAGGGATGGGCCGAGTGACCTAGCTAGTCTGCCACCCCCGGGGGAGAAGAGAAGGTAATAATGCCTTGTATGTCTCCACTCTCTGAGGATCTCTAGGCATTTTTTCAGATGCTATCTACTGGGTTGCCCATCTTACATGGGGAGTGGGGGTGGGGTAGGGGGGGTGGAGTAGATTGGGGTGGATGTTGTGAGCAGTACACGAGAACCAAGGAACAGAGAGGGGCAACCCTAGGAAAATGGCTTCCCAGCATGGTCCAGAGACCAAGTGGGGTTTGAGGAGTCAGATCTTTCAGCACCAACTCCACCCGCCAACTTTTGCCTTCCTTATATCTGTTGCTGGACAGCCCTGGAAAGGACAGAGCAAGACCTTTCTGGTTAAAGAAATACCATGAGGAAGGAAGGAAGGAAGGAAAGGGTGGTTGGAAGCTAGGTGGAGTAGGGGGAACAGGGATGCCCTTTGATAAACTAGTGTGTCCCCCACCCCTTTCCTTTCTCTGTCTCCTTTTCCTTTGGGGGACTTAGACCTGAGATGAAGGCAGGATGTTCTCTGAAGCCCGGGATAATGTTTCTGTGGGATTTGAGTCTTTTATTGTGGAGATTACCTGTTTTACCCTTAGATCCTTTGGGGAACAGGCTTGGCCCCAACGCTCCTGAGGAAGGTACAGCTTTCACAGGCCTCAGGGCTATGTTCCAGGGGGCACAGCCTAGTTTGATTT